AATTCGCTTTTTGCGAAGAGTCGCGCTATATTAGCTATAATAGTCACTGTTTACAAATCCACATTACTTCCCCAGAGACCTCAACTGAGATAAAATCCAGGTAGAACTCAATGTCCGGGACAAAGTAAGGATCTTCCTGTTCTTTTCTCGTCTCTTACCCCTCCCTATAGCTTTCATTTATTCTAACATTCGTCCCACACTCTCATACATACCCTCTCACTAAATTTTACTTATTATTCTCGGAGTTTTTTTTTTTTTCTGTTTTCTTTTTGAATTTGGAGCTCTGATGAATTGCATCGTATTTACGATTCCGGTGGAATAAATTATAACCATGGAATATTAGTGTTTAAGCCTTTTTTTATATATATATATATATATATATATATATATATATATATATATATATATATATATATATATATATATATGTTTGGGGCACCAGATCCTTATTCACACATATATTGTTAAATATGACAAAGAATGGCTATTATGTTTGATCATGAGCCATTCTAAGCTTCGCAAATTGGCTTTAGTTTCGGGGTAATAGAAAGAAAAAAACTGTTCAACATTTTGGTATGTTTAGTATGCTGTTCTTCGATCTTTCTATCACGTGGTCATGTAAGGACGTCATAGAACCACATTATAAATTTGCGACCTGCTTCTACTATTCCACGACCGTTACGTAACATAGCAATCTTCTATATAAGCATCATACGATGTCATATTTGACGGTGAACATCTCTGTTGAAACGTCTATATAACCAAACAGTTGATGGATCTCCTGAGCCGCAAGCTTAGATCGAGGAACGGCATAATAACAAAATATCCAAATGTATATTTTTTTGCGTTTATTTTCTCACGGAACTGAAGCCACTATATGAAGCTTCAAAGTAATAGATATTACTTGTCTATTACATTTAATATAATATGAATGAATATATATATATATATATATATTAATATATATATATATATATATATATATATATACTATTAATTATATTACCACTATATATACTACAAATTATATTGACACAAAAATATTCACCAAATTCTAAACAACAGAACCAAACAATTATCGAATAGAGAACCATTCATAAAACTAAAAGAAAAGACCACAAAGGCAACTTATTAAATAAACCAACATGCATATTAATAAGCCCCACACAAACCAACATCGGAAAAATAAGAAAACAAATTGTAGAAAAAATATGCACAAAGTTAAGGAACATACTGGACATAAACCAATAGAAAAATGCCAAAGAAATAACTAATTGGTTTAACATATCACCAACGAAAAACTGTTCTTTTATTCAAATAGACATAAAAGACCTTTACCCGTCAATGAAAGCAAACTAAACAATGAACTAGACCTAGCAAAACAATACATAGACATTTTAAACGAAGATCTAAATATTATCAAACACTGCAGTAAATCAATACTGTACTACTACAACAAAATATGGACAAAAACAGCAACAACAAAAATAACAATACCAATATCGATCATACCATCGATGCATCAATGGGCAGCTAAGATGGCGCATAAGATGCATAGTTATATACATCATCAATAAATTAACAAAAATAATTAAAAAGACATAGGCTTATACAACGACGACGGCCTATTAATCGTAAAAAATGCAACAGCAGAACAACAAAAAAATATGAAAATAGATTATAGAAACCTTCAACATATTATGATAAAAAACAGATATAAGATCCAAACCAAAAGTAGTAAATATGTTAAATATAACGTTAAATCTAAAAAAAACAACACACACAAACCATACAGAAAATTAAACAACACCCCTATATACATCAACAAACCTCTACCCGCTCCTAATGTATATCCAACATCTAATCCATATCAGTACCTATAAGCATAAACAAAACAATATGAAGAAGTTCAGCAACATATAAATATTCAATCAAAACAAAAGAATATGAAACAGTATTAGGAAATATGCAATTATTCGAACAAACTATAATATAAAAATAAAAACAAACAAATAAGAAGAGAAAAAGTAACATAACCCGGTTCAATCCACCTTATATAATAATACAATATTAATAAAAATAGGAAATTATTCTTTACAATAATTGAAAATCATTTCCCCAAACACAACAAAGTATCGAAAATTATCAAAAAAATACAGTAAAATCAGTTACACTTCATGGAAAAACTGCAAAATAAAAATTTACTAATTCAAAGAAATGAAATAGCTATTTTTTAGATACTGTCCATTACTTTCCATAATTAATAATTATTTGGGAAAAAAAATTAAAAAAAGGCGAGAGAAAAAACATACATTTTTATACTTCATCAATAATAATTTTTTTTTTTTAAATATGAAATTAAATTCTAAAATAATGATTTGTAAAAATACCTTATAGTCTACTAGTTATTAGAAGGAGAAATGTTACTTTAAATCTGTAGGAATAAAATTTAAATATTAAAAATATGACTTCCTTATATTTAGATAACCCTTTTAGAAAATCTTTGTGTATAAGAATATGAAATAGGCGGATAAATAAAGATGTCAGATTATTTCATCATTGAAAACCCAGACGACACGCTGAATAAGGGATGTCTATGTTTGTTAGCAGGCATCCCCCACCCCACATAAACTTAACCTGACTTTGTTAGTAACATATATTTGACACATAAGTTGTCTATTGTATTATTACTAGTGTATATATATATATATATATATATATATGGGTGTGGGTGTGTCTGACGTGTCTTATGTCCTATTCACTATACAATTCCCGTATCCTCTCACATAGATTCAGTTCATTCTTATGCAGTAGAATTTTATATACAAACAAGTCTTCAAAGAAAACAAATTGTGTAGTTAGCGTTGGAAATTAGAGTCTTTTTAAATGGAAATTTTTGTCTGTCTGTTTTCTGGAAATACATATTCACGCATTTTGGTTTATATTTTCTCTAGTTGGGTCTTTTGTCGTCTGGCCAAATTCTTATCTTTTCAATGGAATGTTTTGTTCTTGTTTCATATGGCACGACACCAGGAAGAAAAGTAATATGGAAGCTCGCATACATAGCTTTTCAAAGCCAAATTCGCTTCCGTCAACATTCAATGTGCCACCAGGAAGTCTATTAATCGGTGAAACCTAAAAATTCTGCAATAAACTTTTAAGGAATGTTGATCTATAAAGTTTTTTTAAGATTCGGCCTCAAAAGAAAAACATTATGGGAAAAATCTTGCTACCGAAAACAGGCCTAAATTATACATACGCACATTTATATATAAAATTGGACAGTGAGGTTAACACCGAGCGGAGAGACGTGCGTGAAAACACGACGCTTGAACGCGAACTTCAGGCCTGATGATTGAGTACTAGTCGCTTGACGATTACCAGATCTTGAAACATCAATAGCAATTTGAATCATTCTTCATCGAGTGTTTTCGTTATGGAGTATTTATGCTCTTTCGAGATGGTCTAGCAGATGACTTCTTTAATTTACTGCGTCATTAGGGGTTTGCCTTTTGTAATTTTTTTCTTGCCTAAGTTATTTGTACGCTAGGCAATTTTTCTGTCGGTCGCACCAACATTGTTAGATTTTATAACATATATATATATATATATATATATATATATGTATGTGTGTGTGTGTGTATGTGTGTGTGTATGTGTGTGTGTCTGTTTTTGTGTGTGTGTGAGTGTGTGTGTAAAATATATAGAAAATAGGAAAGAACTCGTTAGGTAAACATGAGAACTCTTATGTATCGTTGGAATCATATTTTTAAATAAATAATTATATATATATATATATATATATATATATATATATATATATATATATATATATATGCTATAAAATCTAACAATGTAAACATCTTAGATATAACATTATATCTAAACAACAATATATACAAACCATACAGAAAATTAAACAGCCCTATTTACATAAGAAAACTCTACCCCTCCTAATGTTTACATAACATATATATATATCAGAACCTATATGCATGAACAAAAGAATATTAAGAAGTCCAGCAACATAAAATATTCAATCAAAACAAAATATACATATACATATATATATATATATATATATATATATATATATATATATATATATATATATATATATATATTTACTTAGATATATGGATAATCAGTCTGGCCGGTCACTACCCACCCACTGAAAAATTTATATATATATATATATATATATATATATATATATATATATATATATATATATCACATTATGAAGTGGACAAAGTCCGTCCAATTATTTTAAGACATTTTTATTTATACATTCTTTTTATAGATACTAATATTTAAGTAAATGCTCTTTTTATAATAAACAGTATTAAACAACAGTTACCGGCCTGACTTTGTTAGTAACATAAACAGAGCATTTACTTAAATATTTGTATCTATAAAAAAAACATATAAAATAAAATTTATCTTATATATATATATATATATATATATATATATATATATATATATATATATATATATATATATATATATGTATGTATCTGTGTGTGTGTGACTGTGTGTGTGAATGTGTGTGCGTTTGTGTGTGTGCGTGTGTGTGTTGAGAAGCAGCTCCTTATTCTATGATATATTGTTAAATATAACAGACAACGAATGCATCTTATGTTTGATCATGAGCCGTACTAAAGTTCGTATATTTGCTTTAATTTCGGGAGAAAATAAAAAAAAGAATTTTTGACGTTTGGATATTTTCTTTTATTTTGTTGTTCCTTGATCTTTGAATATCTTTATTTAAATGTCCATATCACCACTCTGATGATGGTTCACGTGAGCCTAAAGCTTAGACCTAGGGACACCATAATAAAAAATAGCCAAATGTTGGACAATTACCACTTTGGTAAGACCATCATCCGGAATAATTCAAAGATCTGAAAGGGAATGAAATCAAAGAGTTGCCTCAAAGATGTCAAATGGTTGTGAAAAATAATGACATATGATGCTTTCCTTTTTAAATGACTGTGATGTTTTATACCATCCCAATACGTTTTTCCGAGTATGACGATTTTCTATGCCTAACATTGATTGAGGCAGAAGCTGGAAATATTGGGCATTCAACACAATAATCCTTCATAATTGATATAGCAAGACAAGCCTGCTAACGATTACGCCACATCCAAATGCCCATGTTTGCATATGCACGGTGTTTTTTAAGTGTAGCTTAGTTGTGGCACAAAGATGCATCCAGTGAGGATCGTACACTCTATTCAATGCTAATTTATTTAGAAAGAAAAGCTTGCTAACCATTCCACCACGTCGGCGTGCCCATGTATGTATATGTGTGAAGTAAATAATGAAGAGGATATTTATATTACTCAAATAATGGGTTAGTGCATAATTATCAGGCGTTTCCTAAACATTATTTATTATGAAAAAGAAACATTCAACAATGGCATTCTTAAATGATTATTCCGGGTCGTACCATTATCGACACGCATTTTTATAAAGTGAAAACAAAATAATATTTCTGCTAAAAAAAGGAAAACAAGACAATAATTTATATCAAAAAATATCTCGCCTTTAAAAAACACAGATAATTAAGCACTAACCCAATATTTATTTTTAAGTATAGACTTCTTTGTTAATTCGGTAGTACATATTAATTTTGCAGATCGAATATTATGAGGGAAAATGTTATCTTCTAGTAACAAAGCATCAGATGCCTGATTTATTAATCCTACCTTATATATGCGGTTACTTTAAAATCATTTACGCTTAGTCATTGATTTTCCTACATGTGCTTCGATGAGAGAAGACAAGTCTTTTCACGTGTTGCCATTTTAAAACAGACTTTTAGTGGTAGGCCTTGATGTAACGTTGAATAGATTCTGAAATAGTTTTCATAACGCTTACTCGTTTTGCTAGAGTAAAAATATCAGCGCTTTGTCTTTGGGTTGCTTTACTTTTCTTGGTCCTTCTTACACACTCGCTCTCCGTCCCCCCCCCCCAAGCTATCTAACTATCTAGGCATGTATGTACGTATCTATTTATTTCAACTTGTTCCTATCTAATTCTCAATCTGATCTTAACTATATGTCTTTCTCAGCCTGTTCCAATCACAAATTCAACCTATCTATCTATCTATCTATCTATCTATCTATCTATCTATCTATCCCAGCTTGTTCGTATGTCACTCTCAATCTGATTTTATCTATCTATCTATCTATCTATCTATCTATCTATCTATCTATCTATCTATCTATCTATCTATCTCAACTTGTTCCTATCTCTTTCTCAATCTGATCTTATCTATCTTTCTCAGTTTTTTTTCCAATCAAAAACTCAACCTATCTATCTATCTATCTATCTATCTATCTATCTATCTATCTATCTATCTATCTATCCCAGCTTGTCCCTATGTCTGTATCAATCTGATTCTATCTATCTATCTATCTATCTATCTATCTATCTATCTATCTATCTATCTATCTATCTATCTCAAGTTGTTTCTATCTTATTCTCAATCTGATCTTATCTTATCTGTCTTCCTCAGCTTGTTCCAATCACAGTCTCAACCTATCTATCTATCTATCTATCTATCTATCTATCTATCTATCTATCTATCTATCTATCTATCTCCGATTCTTCCTATCTCAATCGCAACATGTTCCTATCTATCTATCTATCTATCTATCTATCTATCTATCTATCTATCTATCTGTATTTCTCAATAAGTTTATTTTAATCTCATTTTCCCTAAACCCTTTTCTTGAAAACAATATTAAAGAACATTCGTTTTCGACATTGTTCCTATTATCGAAGCCATTCAGTATTCATCCTCTTCCCATGAACGATTGTAGCCGAATTACAACAATGGCTGTTTATCGAGAATGGTAGTTCTACGGAAATAATTTCACTTGCAGATTTTTTTTTATATTCATTCTTAACTTCAAATTATTATTTTTATCAATGCACCGAAATTGCTTGTACTTATTCATCGCACTAATCGAAGATTATCCAGTGAAAATTTCAAATCGTATATCCTTTAATAACAAAGTATCAAATTATCAAATTTATTTATCTTCCTTTATATATTTGGGCGTCTCCTAGTCTGGGTTTGCCAAGATCGATTAAAGGGTCCAGTTTGCCCAAATGTTTCACTCCAAAGTAGGAGAAGAGCATAATGAGCAGGATGAAAAGACATTTTCCTAGGACGATAGTGCGAAGTAAACGTTAGCAGTCTGAAATTTGTAATCGCCTCGCCGATTTCCCATTTTAGATGACAAAAATGTTAAATTGTTATGTCATACTTCAACAAGTGAAATCATAACACAAAGTACAAATAAAAAAAAATGTTTAGAAACCTATGTTAGGTCACTGCAACTGCATAGAACCAATTGCCTAGGAATGAACATGTATCAATTCACAATCTATCTATCTATCTATCTATCTATCTATCTATCTATCTATCTCTTTCTTTCTCGCACACACACACACACACACACACACACATATATATATATATATATATATATATATATATATATTTGTGTGTGCGTGTGTGTTTGTGTGTGTGTGAATAAATTATAGACATTATTACAGATACTGGAAGCAAATTATATTTTAAAAAATAAAGCTGTCACTGAACAGAATCAACTATGAATACTGCAGTAATCAATCTATCTCTTTCTTTCTTTCTTTCTTTCTCGCTGTACACACACACACACACACACACACACACACACATATATATATATATATATATATATATATATATATATATATGTGAACAGAATCAACTATGAATGCTGCAGTAATTTTCTAAAATGCCTGTAAAGGAAGAGTTTTTCATGCTCTAATGCGTGCGTGACCATGACATTAAAACTTGGTGAAAAAAAATCCATAATGGATAATTTTTTTTCACGTTATAATGTAGGCGCAGACAATGTCAACCGCTTTGCATTTAAAAACAAAATGAAAGAAAAAATACCGTAAAAATACGGTAATTGATAACAACGCACAACTTTGTATAAATACTTATATTAATGAACAATATATAGCTTTGTATTACTTGAACCCCTGAAGATGATCTTGGATGGAGATCGAAAGTACTTGGGAAATGAAAATAAAAGAAATTTCAACAGCTACAGCATATTAGTCTCATCCTTTTAACATCAATACATGGAATGTTATTCGTGCGTATGAACGGATTTTGATAAGATTTCCTGATATTATATCTGTAATTTATTCAATCAGTCATGACTAAAAGAGAATTTTAAATTATATACATATATATATATATATATATATATATATATATAAGAAAAGTATATTAATATTTATATACCTAAAGAATTCTAGATAGAAGTTAATATAAAAAAAATTCGGGAATCTCTGACATTAAGATAATCTATGAAAAAGTGGAAAAAATTAAATTAAATTTAGAATTTCTTCGTTCATTCTACTTCATATATGTGTGTAATCAGGTTTGTCTAAACATTGCTTTACTCCAATGAAATCTTAGACGTCAACACTTACAAGCAAGTCTGTTTCATGCTAGATGCAATCGTCAGGCCAGCCTGACGATTGCAGGTGGCCTAATGATTGCAGGTGGCCTGACGATTGTATCTCGCATGAAGCAGACTGTTGCCTGTAAGTTTTGACTTCTATGTTCAATTTTATATTTACACACGCTCTATCTCTGATATTGAGCACTTTATCCCATAAATATAGCACATCTTAAGACTATATTTCTTAAAAACACAACATGCAGACTCACAAAACCTACTAGATGTAAAATAATTACGATAATATCAAAAAATATTCACTCCTAAATAAGTATGAATGTAAGAACAAAATGTTGGAAAACCACAAATAAATTTACTATTGACAGGTTCCAAAATCTAAAAACAAACCTAATTGCGAATTTATACAACGACAGTGTGCTCCACTAAAAACAAGTTAAGATAATAGTTGGATTTTTTGTTACAGTTATTTGAAACAAAAGCAATGGATAGAAATTTAGTAGCTTAAGACAGATCAAAAACACACATGTTAGATGTGGTGTTCAAATTAAAATGTTACATTTTTTATTTGTTAATTTGTTTTCATCATGTCGTAAATCTAAAATGTCCTGTTCTTTTTGCAGCACGCTGTAGATTAAAACTATCTCTACCCTCCCTATAAATGACATCATGATATATAAGGCCATCTCAAATAAAAATAAGAACAAACAAACGAATTAAAAATAATTAAGCACTGTCGAAAATCGATATCATTTGACAAGGAAGACACGTGTCTAAAGAAAGAAGGAAACTTCGACGTTCCAATGGCACTTTTTTAATGGTCTTTAAACTTGCGATCTTATCGGTATAGATTTACTAAATGAAATAAACAAAATAATCGATAAAATTCTATAGGCCTTTTCAAAGCCGACGGTCCCATCGTCCTTCGAAACTCTGCAGACCTATAACAGACAAAATAAGAAAAATAAGCATAAAAATTACCAAAATTATGGAATTCGACTTAAACGTAAAAAAATCTAAAAGAAGTAGGTTTCCTAGATGCCTCACTCAATCTAAGAAAAGATACATATCAAACATCAATGGAAATTCCAACGACAAAGCAGTTTACATCCACTCGCAAACAAGAGGCAAGCAGATCACCCAACAAATTAACGGCAGGTTATCTTACTCTTCTTCTAATGAAACCATCTACAACGAAGCCAAAAATATTATGAAACAACCCTAAAAGATTATAGATTTTTGGCAACACTCAAATATACACCGCATAGTTCAAAAAAGCAAACAGGAAAAGTTTCATATGGTTCAACCTACTATCCTAAAAAAAATGTAGGAAAAAGATTCACTAAACTCATACATAAACACTTCCCCACATCATTACATCATTCACTTTTCAAAAGGTATTCAACAAAGACACTGTAAAAATCAGCTATAATTGCACCGAGAACATGACACAAATAATAAAAAAGCACAACAGGAAAATAATCAAAAAACCACACGCGCAAACCAAACTCACCTGTCACTACAGAACAAGACTCGATTGTCCCTTCAATGGCAAAATGAAGATAACACGATCATGAAATATAAGGTCGCTTGGAGTAGGCGTATTCTTACTGAATTCTGTAGTAATGATAGAAGACTCACTCCCGCCTAGCTCTTGGCTAGCGAGGTATTTATCCGAAGCTTCCCCACAAGTCGGAATGTGGCACAAGGTCGGCGTTTAATTTATAGCCTTACGAGCGGGTACACTTCGGCAAAAATTCCCCGTAGACATCGCTTAAATGGGACCGGGTGTTTGTCTAATTTTCATCGGACGAGACTCTGCCCATAGTGAAAATGTCGTCTGAGTTCCTCTCCGACCGAAGGCAGAGGGTACGACAAGCTCTGATATCTCTACGAGATCTATGCTCCGGCTTGATCGTTATTTACTCGAAGCTTCTCCACAAGGCGAGATGTGGCAAAACGGCGGTTTTTAATGTGGGCTTTCAGCGTGCGTACTCGCGAGCAAAAATTCCCCATGGACTCTGCATACACGGGGTCAGGTGGCTGTCTACTTTTCTTCAGACGAGACTCAGCTCGAAGGAAGAGAGTCCGATAAACTCTCAGAGCCCTTCTCCCAGCTCGCGCGCGCCTAGGTCGGTCTCTACCCGTAATTTTTATGACGTTACTTAAAAAGCGAGAACTCAAAACGGATAACTTTTAAAATACCACCATGGAAAATGCATGTCAGTGAACTATTTACAGTTCAAATAATGGAACATGATTTAGACAAAGCCAAAAAATATATAAATACAATACCTAAATGAATAAAAAAAATAAGTAGATAATGAACAAATTAAATAACTAAATGCAATAATAATAATCAACAATAAATAAGTAATCCATAGTAAATAAATAGTAAACATTAAGAAACAGTATAAAATTAGTACAAATAATCTCATTCGGATTCACAATTATTGCTATTATTTAACCCATAGACTAACCGTTACCGCTCATCCAATAACCGTTAGAATAATAGAATAGGCCTTAGAACCCATAATGCACCACTGACCAACATATATAAATAGTCGCGCTAAATTATCACATATGAGCTGCATATTGTGTTGAAGAGTAGAACTGGCTGGTATAAATAGAATAAAGAAATTGTATGTCAAGTTATTACTGCACTATTTACATTATTCAGATTATTGTTCTCTTTTTTGTCACCATGTTTATTGTAACGTTTCGGCCGTTGTACGCTCCGGCCTTCTTCGGATGGTTGGAATGTCGAACTGAAACCTTTATTTCGCTCACTGTGGTAGACTGTTCTAGTTCCACGTGCCATGTTTTACTGGATATCAATTGTCATTTATCTCCTGTTAATTCCCCTCAGCAAGTTCCCCACTGGCTTAACCGGATATTGAACTCACACTCTTTGGGTCCTGTCACTGTATCTAGCTAACGCATTTATCCCCTGTGCCATGTGTCCTTGAGAACATCTGTGTATGAATTTCTAATGTCTTCAGCAACCATTTTTACCAGAGCTCATATTGCAATTTTTGTTGTCATTATCGCTTTTCTCTGGCACTCTTATTACTGGTTCCCATATTGTATTCATTTCTATGCTTGGTCGGCTCAAGAGATTTTTGTGGCCTAGCATATGTGTTGTAATATATATGGCGACAAAGATGAGGCCAATAGTCCGAATAATGTAAATAGTGTACATAATACCT